AGAAATCACCAAAGATCTATTGTTTCTAGCTTTTCTAAAATTCTTTTCAGGCCTTTAAGTCCTTTCTTGTTCCTTTTTATTTTATGTAATTGGACAAAAGGTATATTGATGTTCTCCACTACTATCATTTTACTATTTTTTCCTAAAATTTCTTTAACCTTTAAGCACTTAGACGCTATACCATTGGGTACATTTATCTTACCTTCAATCATATGTAATTTTCCTGTTTATTTCTTTTCACTGTTTGCTTTTTCCTTTGACCTGTCCAAGATTATGATTACTATCCCAACTTTTTTTTTAAAGTTACAACTGAAGCATAATAGTTTTCCTTATACCTATTATTTATATCTGTATTCAGTGTGCTACATAAGCTCTGTTTATTTTTCAGTGTGTTTCTTACAAAAAACGTATTGTTTGATTCTACTTTGTAGTATGTTCTGCTACCCATTCCACTTTGATGATTGAGTTCATCTGATTCATGGTCGTGGTGAGGATGGTTAACTGTGTATTTCTTGTATCTTGTTCTCTGACACTTTTTCCTCTCTTTGGTCGCCATATCCTCTTCATACAATAAAGGATGATGAATGAGAGGTCGTGTGCGCAGAACTAGTGACTTGTCCTTGATGCAGTCTGCGGCTCCATCATCCTCCCTTCCCCGGCACATATGTACCCTTTATCTGCCAATGTTCACGTGATTAGTCAATGTAGGAGGTAGGATTTGAATTCTGATCTCTTAATCTTTCCATTACCAACTAGTGCCTCCCGACAAACGATTATCATGAGCTTATATTCAAGGTTATTTTGACTCACCCTTTCTTAACACCCTTTAAGTTCCTCCTGCCCTCCAACCCTGCCCTACATGATCCATCACCTGAAGTTGGAGTTTGTTTTGCTTGTGACTTATCTTTTCCTAAAGATGCGTTGTTGTTGTTGTTGTTGTTGAGTTGTGACTGACTCTTTGTGACCACATTTGGATTTTGGTTTTGGTTTGTTTGTTTTTGGCAAAGATACTAGAGTGCTTTGCCATTGCATTCTCTAACTCATTTTAAAAGTGAGGAAACTGAGGCAAACGCTTGCAAATGACTTGCCCAGGGTCACACAACTAATAAACGTCTGAGGCCAGATTTGAACTCAGGAATAGTCTTCCTGACTCCGGGCCTAGTGTTCTATCCACTGAGCCATCTTGCTGCCCCTTCCCTGAATACATCCCTCCCTTTTACTCTTTCGTCTCCTCGTTCCTTCCTATTTCCATGCTGAATTGAATGTATTTCTGTATTGAACTCTTACATTCTTCTGACCTCACCACTTATTTGAAACTACATTCTTCAATATTACTAGTGATTCGTTCACTGCTAAATCCAAGAACTTTGTCTTCTTCTTGACTTTCTTATCTTTCTCCAGCTTTTGACACTATTGACCACTCCCTTCACTTGCTCCCTTACCAGCCTGCTGCCCCTGTTCTCTCTTCCTTGGCTTCAGTGACATTGCTCTTCCTTATTCTTCTACCTGTAGGACCATTTCTGCTCACTCTCCTTTGCTCGGTTGTCCGTCTCCCACATATTATTCACGAGTGTCCTCTCGGGCTCTTTCCAGGGACTTCTCTCTATATAGCTGCTCTTTTGGTCATCCTCGACTCGCCCCTTTCCCTCCTGCCTCGTAGCCCGTTAATTTTCTGGCCTTGTTGATTCTACCTTTGCCACGTTTGTTCCCTCTTCTCCCCTCACATGGCCACCCACCTTACACGGCCCGTAGCACAGGATACTGCATCATGATGTAACAAACGGCACACTGGGTTTGGAATTTGGAGATGTTTTTTAATCCCAGCCCATCTACTCATTATCTGTGTAAATGACTTGAGGAAGTTGATCAGACTCGGTCTTCATGATAAAAGGAGGGTGGATTTGGGGGCCTGTGAGGTCTCTTCTATCATCAAGTGCATGATCCTATGATTCCAGACTTGGATTCTCACCATGGCCTTGTCACTGCTCTTAGGATTTCATTCTTTTTCTTCTCTAGTCCATCCTCCATGTGGCTACTTAAGTCATTTTCCTAACCATATGTCTGACCATGTCACTTACCTGCTCAAAAGTCTTTAGTGGCTCACTGTTGCTTCAAATATAATATACAGTGTCTCTTCCCCACCCCCATCTCCCCAAGCCTGGCTTTAAAGGTCATTCATAATCAGACTCCAACCTGTCTTTCTAGAATATTTCACATTACTTCTCTGAAGGCATTCTGTTTTTTTGGGCCAAAATTGGTCTAGTAGATGAACTCCGCATCCTGTGTTCAGGCCTTAGCATAAAGGGATGTACTCCCTCCTTCCTCACCTCCGCCTCTCTGAATCCTTATCTTCCTCAGCTCTCATTCAGTTGCGATTTCCCACAGGAAGCTTTTCCTGAGAATTCATACCTGCGCTGATGGTTAGTTCTCTCTCCACCCTCAAAGTGCCTTTTACTTATCTGCGTGCATCTTGTAACTCTTCTCCCCCCTTTCCGAATGGAATGTAAGCTCTGTGACAGAAGGAACTGTATCAGTTTTGTTTTTGTTTCTTTAGCACCTGAACAGTGTCTTGCACTGTCCAGCAGGTACTTGATGAACTTTTTTTTTTTTACATTAAATGTCTTTTCTTCTTTGACCAGAGGACAAATATCTACAATGATGTGTAGTTTTGTGGAATGGGAGAGGGGTGCTGGAAAAGCTCATATATTCTCATGCATCTCATTGTAAATAAAGGGAGTTGTTTAGGGGGAAGGTAAGACTTGGGGAAGAAGAAAGGAAAAAAAGGCTTGGGACAGACTTTAGAGATTATGATAAGGAATCAACAAGCAAGAATACATTGTTTAACAGCACTGAGGTTCCAGATGGAGTTATTTAGCATAAATTCTTAGTGGATGAGTTCAGCTTCCTTTGGTGCTTTAGGTTTGGAAGAGGCTGAGATAAAATTTAATTTTGAACTTTTGTGGGTGAGTAATCTGAGGCCCAGAGTGGGGAAATAACTTGCCCACTGTCACACAATCAGTAAGTCACAGAGCTGGAATGTTGCCCCAAGATCTTTTCACTCCGAATTCACTGCTTTTTTTTCAGCCTTCCACACTGTGGAATTCCTGTCCGTCCTGTGAAGCCCGGCAGAAAAGCCCCCACTTGCAGGAAGCTCTTCTTGAAGCCATTAGGAATTAGTGACCTCTCACATAGCTGTTGTTGGCTGCTTCCTCTTGCCCTTGTGTGTCATTTTTCATTACAGTTATCTGCGTTGATATCCTATTTGCTATCTGAGGCCAAGGAATACATCTAACCTACGCTTTGCATATCTCCTGTGGCCTAGTAGGCGCATAATAATATTTACTGAATTACATTTAACCGTAGGGGCCACAGGGTAGGGACATAATTCTAGTTGTTCATGTCTCTTAAGACTTGGATAGTTAGCTTAGCCTTGAATAGCATTCCCTGGAATCTGGAAATTATTATATGTAGTTACTTGTGTAGCAAATCGTCCTAATAGCAACAGTAATGAGAGAAGCAGCATGGTATAGAGTCGGGAAGACCTGGGTTTGAGTCCTTCCTCTGACATAATGGCTGTGTGACCCTGGGCAAGTCATTGAATGCCAGGCAACTGTCTAAGACTAGAAGTTGCAGTTCGGGTCTGATCTTTGTTGTTGGAGGATGCTCCCCCCATCGATTCATTATAACCCCAATCCTCAGAGAACCCCACCTTGATCCATTCATTCTGTCTAACTTTTGTCTCAGATTTCTCCTCCCTTATAATGATAAGCTAAACTTATTTAGTTACATAAGAAGTAGCAAAGGCTCTCTACAGAAGTACCCCCACTTCATTTCTCTCACTTTCTCCTTGCCCTGCAGTCTAACTTCCTATCTCATCATTCAACTGAAACAGCTCTTTCCAAAGTTACCGATGATATCTTAATTGCCATATTCAATGGCTTTTTATCAATTCTCATTCTTCTTTACCTTCCTGCAGCCTTTCACATCACTGATCATCCTTTTCTTAATTCTAAGTTTTCAGCTCCTTTGGATTCAACTATCATCTTTATTCTAACAGTTCCCAGATCCTCTCTCTTGACCTCTTTGACCTCATACCTCCAACTCCCTACTTTGCAGATAAAAACTGCATGTCCAGCAGAAATCTTAAATACAGTGTGTCTACAGCTGAACTCACCATCTTTCTTTAAGTCTTCTCCTCTTCCTGAATTTCCTATTATTGCTGATTATACTATCCTCCCAGTCTTCCAGGCTTGCAACCTAAGTGTCATCCTTAATTCTTTACTCTATCTTCCTCCTCCCCCTCCCCATTCAACCCATTGCCAAGTCTTGTCAATTCTACCTTGGTGTCATCTGTTATATGCTCTACTTTTTCTCCTCTGACAGCTGCCACTGTAGTGCAGGATCTTGTCACTTCCTCTCTGTCTTCCTCAAGGCTCTCCCCACTCCAGGCTATCTTTCATGCAGCTGGTAAATTGATCTTAAAGTATAGGTCTGACCATGTCCCCCTCACCAATCAATAAATTCCAGTGGTGCCCTATTACCTTCAGGATCAAATATAAAACCCTTTGGCATTCAAAGCTCTTGAAAAGCTGGTCCCTTCATGTCTTTCCAGTGTTCTTATATCTTACTCCCTGCAATGTATTCTGTGATCAATTGACATTAGCCTCCTTGAATTTCTTGTGCGAGAGACCTCATCTGAATCTATGCCTTTTCATTGGCTTTTCTTCTTTCCTAGAATGCTGTCCTTCCCAGTCTCCACCTCCTGGCCTCTCTGGCTTCCTTCAAGTCCCAGCGAAAATCCTCCTTTCAACAAGAAGCCTTTCCCAATACCCCTTAATGCTAGTGCCTTTCCACCGCTGATTATCTCCAATTTATTCTTTCTGCATTTTGTTTGCACATTCTGACAATCAAAGAAATAAATTATTTTTTGGATCAAATATATGCAAAATGTGACTACCTACTGAAAAGCTAAAAACAGTAATGATGTATAAATATTTCAGGTGATTGTGAAGACAAGGACAGAATACCAGCCTGACCAGAAGAATAAAGGAAAACTCCGGGTGCCAAAAATTGCTGAGTTTACAGTCAGTTTTACTGATGGAGTAACAGAAAGATTAAAGGTAAGATGGGCTACACAGTCAGCTCTGGCTTCTCTATACAAAAATAGCAGGCCTTGGCATATGTGACACAAAATGATCAAGATTACCTTCCACGATTGCCTTAAGTCCTCCATGTTAGATTCATTGATAAAGACAAAAGAGTAAGAGAATTTGGTCCTGCCACATCCTCTCCTGTCATATTTCTCACTCACACACTGAGTCCATTTTCCATATTTCCTTGCTCATTCATTCATGCATTCAACAATGAGGCAGAGTGGGATAGTAGAAAGAGCCTTGGGCTCAAGTTTTGTTTTTGTACTGATTAGCTAGATGACCTCTTAGGTCACTTCCCTTCCCTTGCCCTTAGTTTCTTCATCTGTAAAATGAAGGAATGGGACTGAAACATCTGAAGGTCTCTTCCTGCTTTAATATCCTATAATTTGGACTTCTGTGACTTCCCTAAGGTACCATGTTTTGAGTATGTTTACTTCCCTTCTCTCTTTTCACATGGCCAACCCCTTTCCCACTGCCACAGTGGTGAGATGTCACACTGCCAAAACCAAGTTTATTATTTTTCCCACTGGTAGAAGCCTTCTGAACTGCTATTCACTCACATAAGAGATAAGACATTCAGCCCTTAATACAGCCCTAAATGTTATCAATCCATCAGTAAACATTATTAAGCACCTACTATAGGCCAGGTACTGTTTTAAGTGATAGGGATACGAAAAGAGACAAAAGACAGTACCTGCCCACAAGGAGCTTACAATTGGACAGTGGAGACAACATGCAAATAAAAATATAGAAAGCAAACTATATACAGATCAATGCAAAATAGTTAATGTACCTATATGTGAACATCAGAGGGTAGAAAGGCTGTGTGGATGGCTCTGGGCTCTGCCCCCTTATAGATGGTGCTGAAGACAGAGGCATCGAAGTTTTCTTTAAGAACTGTCATCTTTTTCTGTATGTATGTGTGCATTGGTGAATTGGCACCAAACTTATCTATCATATTTGACTTGAATTTTGTTATGTTTAAATTTGACCTCATTGACATTATTGTGGCTGTCATGTACTATTGTTCTTATGGCTATTTTTTTCTTCTCTTCCTCTGTCACTGCATGTAAGTCATACCATGTTTTTCTGATTTCTTCATATTTGTCAGTCCTTATGGTACCATCGCCCAGCTTGATTATGATACTTGTGAAGACATAGAATGTTCCAGTGGAAAGGGGTTTTTGAAAACAATTAGCACAACAACCTCATTTTACACACTAGAAAACTGAGGCCCAGAGGGAACTAGTGGCTTGTTCAAGGTCATCCAGCTTTCCCTCCTCTTCCTAATAGTCATAACAAATAGATGGCATTTACAAAGGGTTTTACAAAAGCACTTTGTTTACATTATCTCATTAGATTCTCACATTCCTATAAGGTAGGCACTACAAAACCCTTATTCTACAGAGGAGGACAGTGAGGCTCAGAAGAGCTAGTTGTCCATGGTCATCTAACTACTGGCAGAGCTAGGACTCAAATCTGGGTCTTCTGATTCCAAAATCATTGCTTTCTTTACTATCCTACATTGTAATTATAGCCTTGATGGTTATAGTTCCCAATTAACTTGTATAGAATGAAGAAGAGTTAAGGAGGAATGGATCTTCCCTATATAGTGATTGATTCTTTTTTTCCAAAAGACACTCAAGAGCTATGTGTGTGTGTGTATAAACACCTACATTTTCCTACTTTAGGTGTTGGTCATTTTATCAGTGTAGGTATGACAAGATTACAAGACCTAGCCATCAAGTGTGTCTGTGGCTAAAGATGTCATCATCCTGTAGCCACACTAGTCTTGAGTCTCTCTAAACTCTGCTCGGTTGGTCATTGGGTGACGTATCTATTGGAAGCTTTTCCAACTGGCTGGGATCTGCTGTAGTGTGTCTCTAGGGTCACCTTCATGCCACACTGAAGAAGACTTTCATAGTTGGTCTTTGCTATGTCATATGCAAACCCACATATGACTATCAGTTATTGACTTGCAAAATGAGTGCTCATGGTGAAATAATTCACGTTCCTCTGTCCTCCATGACTCCTAGCTTTCTAATCACCTATTTTCAACATCAAGACTGAAAGACAAATACAAATTTCTTGATTATCAGACATACCAAAACATTTTAAAAAAATATAAGGTAAGAAGAAATTGGGTCTTTCGGCTATTGTTGTTTAAGGAATAGAGGTCCATTTGGAGAATGATGGGATTGGAATATCGTAGATCTGGAGTGGAAAGGGACTTCAGCCCAGCCCTTTCATTTTATAGACGAGGAAAATGAGGCCAAGGAGGTTAAGTCCCTTGATCACAGTCACATAAGTAATAGGTGTCATAACTGGGGTTAGAACTTAGGCTTTCAGATCCAAGGCCATAGCTCATTCAGTTGTACCCTTTGTATCATCCTTTGCTAACATTTGCATAATTCACTATTAGGTTGTGAAATCAGAGAAATGAACTATGGCTTTGTGTAGTGGAAGAAGGGAGGAAAGGAATGATTTTTTTGTGGGCAGCAAAGTGGCAGCTGGGAAGCATGTGATCTTGATCTGGGTATAAGTGTGGCTAATAGATGTAGAGAAAGCTAATGATTGCCATAGAAAGCAACAGGATTAGTGATAGGTTAGATAGATATAAGGGAGGAAAAGATGGCTTAGAAGTTTCTTTTTGAAGATTCCAGAATGATGGAGGATTATGGAGGGATGACAGATTCAATTCATTTCTGTCCAGTTCAAATAACATTTATTAAATGCCTACTGTATACAAGGCACTAGGGATAGATAAAAAATGAAACAATTCCTGCCTTCAAAGAGTTTATAATGTAATGGCAAGGGGAGATATAGGGGTGGGTGTTGGAGTAAGGATACATGTATGCAGATAAATATAATATGGTATAGTGGTAAGAGCACTGCATTTCGAGTCAGAAGACCTGGATTTAAATCCTGCACCCTGCTGCTTATTACCTATGTGACTTTGGGAAAGCCCTTTAACTTAGTTTTGCTTATCTGTAAAGTGTGGGAATCATATCTAAATCTTTTCAATTAATTAAGTATCTAGTATGTTTAAGGTGCTTTACTAGGTGTGTTGAACATAGAGGAGAAAAAGAAAACACAGTCCTTGCCCTCAAGGAGCTTACATTCTATCTGCGGAAATAATATACTTATGTAAGCATATACACCATAAATTCAAGATTATTTTGGGAGGATGGGGGGAAGCACTAGCAGGTAGGGAAATCAGGAAAAGCTTCATGTAGAAGGTACTACTTGAGCTGAGCTCCATATAGAAGCAATGCTAAGAAGTGGAAGTGAGGAGACAGTGAATTCCAGGCAAGTGGCACAGCCATTGCAAAGGCTGGGAGAGGAGAGGTGAATGTCATGTATGAATAATGGCAAGGAGGCCAGTTTGACCAAACCATAGAGTGTAAGAGAGGTATACTATATTTTAAAGTCAGAAAGGTAAGCTGGGGCCAGGTTGTAAAGGGTTTTAAATGCCAGATAGAGTAATTTGTATTTCTAGCATTAAATCCTATGTTCCTGTGACAGAAGCAATGAAGAGACACAGAAAAGGGTTGTGAGAAATAGGAGCAGGGAGATATTAGTTTCAACTGAGGGAAGACTTAATAATAGAGGAGATAGTACCTGAGTGATGTCTTGAAGGAAGAGAAGGGTTTAGACAGGGAGAATATTGTAGGCGTGGGGAATGCTCAATACAAGTTCACAGAGTCTTTGCTGTGTTTAGTTTGTGCTTACAGGGAGACATATAGATAGAGATCAGTGCTTAGTGGATTGAACCAAGGACAATTTGGTCATAAAAAAGTAGATATAGGTTAGAAGAGGAGATTGAGACGGAGTGCTGTGTGAAATTTGAGTGAGACAGAAGTTGCTTTCACCTGGGGATGCCAGGGAAGGCTTGACAGAAGAGATGGCATCGTATTTAGGTCTTGAAGGTAGAAAGAGAGGGATTTTAACAGACATTGATCAGAGGAAGGCAGCCCATTTCAGGCATGGGGGATGCAATAAGAAAAGGAATGGAGACAGAGCACAGTGAAAACAGGAGTCTCTGAGGATGGTAAACAGTCTCACAGAAGTAGAAGCTGGAGTATATGAAAGAGAATAGCATCAGGTAAATTTAATTTAGTCTGGCAATAGTTCAGACTTCTTTGATCAACTACATTGGGAGTTTCTCATCTTTAAGGAGTGGCCCTTGTATGCCTGCACTATCACTGATAATTAATGATTATTTGGAGAGGTGGTAAAACTAATTAAATTAGCATGTCATCTACTATCCTTTTTTGCCTCTGTGTAAGATCACAGTCCCTGCTCACACTATCCTTTGAGAGTGGGAAGGGACCTTAGAGACCACCAAAACCAGTCTCAGATCTTTCTTTCTTTCTTTCTTTCTTTCTTTCTTTCTTTCTTTCTTTCTTTCTTTCTTTCTTTCTTTCTTTCTTTCTTTCTTTCTTTCTTTCTTTCTTTCTTTCTTTCTTTCTTTCTTTCTTTCTTTTCTTTCTTTCTTTCTTTCTTTCTTTCTTTCTTCTTTCTTTCTTTCTTTCTTTCTTTCTTTCTTTCTTTCTTTCTTTCTTTCTTTCTTTCTTTCTTTTTTGGTTAGGCAGTGGGGTTAAGTGACTTGCGCAGGGTCACACAGCTAGTAAGTGTTATGTGTCTGAGGCCGGATTTGAACTCAGGTCCTCCTGAATCCAGGGCTGGTGCTCTATCAAATTTTTCCACAGAATATTTTGAAGCCTAAAGTGTATTAACAAAACACATAAATGCTAACCCAGGCATTAGGGTCATGGTTATGGGGTAGTAGAGAAGGAATGCTGTTTCTTGAGGAGAATGGAAGTTCAGGAAATTTTACAGTGCAGTAAATGGCAAGCTGATCTTTTAGTCAGAAAGTCCTCCTATCCCCACCATATAATGTACCATCTGTATTACCAGGATCAAGTTACTTATCTTTGAGTGCTCAAGTCAACTTTCTCAGATTA